TTTCCGTATGTTGCTTGTTTTTTGGTTCTCTCAACCAGCTTATATTTTTTTCCCCCATATCATTTTTACGTTCTATTGAATTTCTATTTACTCAGAGTGGTTCTAAAATTAACTGTTTTTTTCTAAAGTAAATATGCCCAACTCTTCTATGAAAGAAACTTCGACATCCCACTTTGCTCGATTGGCATCGGTGGTGGGCAGCCGCAGGCGCCCTCCTCAGCCGGGGTTGCGCCTCAGGGATCCCGGGCAGAGGCAGAGGCGACGGCGGCGGCAGCGGGGGCAGCGGCAGAGGGCGCGGGAGCAGCACCGGCAGAGGCGGCGGAGGCGCGCACGCTCACGCACGCATCCGCACCGGCGCGCGCGTCCCCGGAAGGACGTGGGCTTCGCCGGTTCGTAGCGGCCGGCCGGGCTGGCCGCGCGTGCGCCCAGAGCTAGGCAGTGGCCCCGCCCACCCGGGCGGGGTTCCGAGACCGCCCATGGGCGGGGCCCCGGAGCGGAGGGCGGAGCCGGCTCCTGGAGCTGGCAGCGCCCGCCTCCAGGCAGCGCCTCGCCGGTCTCAGGTGGGCCGGCAGGTGGTGCGGGGAGCCGCGCAGGGGGGCGGGCCCTGGTCTTGCAGCTGAGTTTGCTCAGCGGTTTACATAAGAGAGAACCGTCATTGTTCTTGTCAAGGAACGGGAGACAACTGGTATGAAATGAGCCTCAGGCCGACACCCCTCCACCCAGCCCCTTGTGACTGACGTTTGCTCATTCTTGGGGCGAAGAGATGGCACTTCCTTCCTTCCTGCTCAGCCATCGAAGTGCCCTTGCCATCGTCCATGAACCACCCACAAACGACGCCCTGGAAGGGCAGAACTCACCTTCCCCCCTGCTCAGCAGGTGCGAGTGGTCCTGTAACACACACCAGGATGTTATATAGAACAGTGAAAATGAAAACCTGCCTACACATACAGTGAAATGAAATAATATAGTGATTAAAAATAGAGAAAAGGCTACATAACAGACAATTCTTGTGATGCTTTCTGAAAGTAAAATGAGCAAGATGCATGATATATAAAAGTACATTACAAATATGTTTATAAACAAACAAGCCAGGCCGGGTAGCTCAGTTGGTTACAATGTTGTCCTGATATGCCAAGGTTGCGGGTTTGATCCCTGGTCGGGGCACATATGGGAATCAACCAATTCATGCATAAGTAACTGCAACAAAAATGCCATGTTTCTTTCTCTAAAATCAATTTTTAAAAATATGTTTTTATTCATTTTTAGAAAGAGAGAAAGGAAGAGGGAGAAAAACATCAATGATGAGAAAGAATCATTGATCAGCTGCCTCCTGCACGCCCCTCACTGGGGATGGGGCCCACAAGAGGGGCATGTGCCCTCTCCAGGAATTGAACTGTGACCTCCTGGGTCATGGGTGGACGCTCAACCATTTAGCCACACTGGCCGGGTCCTAAAATCAATTAAAAAAAATTTTTAAAGCATTTTCTCTAAACAAACAAGTCAACCTGTTCAGGAAGGATAACCTGTCAAATGTGCACAGCAGCTACAGTCAGACCCTGTGCTTCACATGCCTTTTATTTTATTTATTTTTAAAATATATTTTATTGATTTTTTTACAGAGAGGAAGAAACATCGATCAGCTGCCTCCCGCACACTCCCCACTGGGGATGTGCCCGCAACCAAGGTATATGCTCTTGACCAGAATCGAACCCGGGACCTTGAGTCCGCAGGCTGACGCTCTATCCACTGAGCCAAACCAGTCAGGGCTCACATACCTTTTAATTGGGTGAGTCTGACCCCATTTGTCTCACTCCAGGTTTTGCTACCCTTTAAGACCAGCCCCAGTGGTGCCCTTGGCTCCACCCACCTCACCACTTCTGCCTCCAAACTCTCAAAGCTCATCTCACACAAGTCAGTCATCTAGGAAAACGCCCCGTCTTCCCCAACAAATGAAGTGCAGCTTTAGGACTGGGTCCGCGTGAAATTCACCCTTGCACCCAACAAAAGCAGACTTTAACGCCCAGGTCATCCCCCCCCCCGTTTTTTATTTTATTTATTTTTGTTATTCCTCAACCCTAGGATATTTTTCCATTGATTTTAGAGTGGCTGGAAGGGAGGGAGGGTGAGAAACATTGATGTGAGGCACATCCATTAGTTGCCTCCCGCACCACCCCAACCGGGGCAGGGATTGAGCCTGTGTCCTTGACTGGGAATTAAACCCGCAATCCTTGGGTGAACAGGCCAACGATCTAACCACTGAACAACACCAGCCAGGGCTCCAGGACATTAAAATATTTAACAAAGACTATGTGAAACCCACTTCCAACATAAATGAATGCTGACTGCTGGCAGCCATGTGCTCTCTGCCCTCGGTACCAGCTGTTGTAACGGACTGTCATGCTGGGGATTATTAGATAATTGGAAGCCACCAACTTTTCCTGCTGTTACATCTGGGGCAAGCCTGGCTCTCTGACCCCAAAAGTCTAATGCTTCCAGTAAAGGAGTTTCCTACTGTGAACACCCAAGACATCAGGAATGGGCACAGGCAAAGCAGCGGGCAGCAAGGAATGGAGCCTCTCACACATGGGCCTTGGAGGTAGGTGCAGCTGGCACTTAGGGCATAGCAGTAAGGGCACTGTGTATGGCATCTTTGGAGCAAGAAGGGGAAGGGAATGAGAATACATTGTTTTTACACGAAGAAACACTGGACAAATAAGTAATAATAGCCCCAGAGGCTGGGTGGGAGATGGGCAAGGGAACAGGCAGGTTTCTGAGCATGCCTTGTCACCATTTCATGTCACTTGAGTCCCCATTAGAAGCAGGTCTGCCTTGGCAGCTGTTTGCTAACCAGACATTGCTGTGCCCTCAGCTCCTCTTTGGACTTTGTCATGTACCTGTCATGTGGTTCCAGCTCTAGAGTGGGGTTGCGAGGATAGGCCAACAGCCCGATCTTCCTCAGTGAGCCCCCCACACCTGCCCAAGGGATGCGTGTGGCTGCCTTGCTCAGCACCAGCTGATAACTGCAGCTGCATGCTTGGGGACCCCAAGCAGCACTCCTCTCAGGCCACCTCCTTCCATGGAGCGAATCCTGGCTGCTTGTTCAACTCCTGCAGCTCAGTCCGGACCCAATGTGTAACGTGGCTAGTTCCCCCTCAGCCTCCACGCCCCTTCCCCAGAGAACCCACAGGTTTATTCTTTATGTTCTCAGGCGCTCAGTTTTCTTCATAGCACAGAAGGTTTGCAATTTGTATCTGAGATCACCTACTTCCTCCCTGCCCGCCCCCTAGGGTGCAGGCCCATGACAACAGGAATGCCTATTAGCTCCTGTGCCACTCTTTCATCACCTTTCTGTATGAAATAAGACATACCACACAAGTTAAAGTTCATTTCCCCCCGAAGGAATGCTTTATTGGCAAATTACCCGTTATTTACTTTATGGAAAAGACAAATCAGTTGTAGCCCTGCCTCCTGCCTCCTACCAGGAGTCTGAGATTCTGATGAAGAAAGAACACTAGGTGGACCACAGTCCCCCAGTGTCTGAGGTGACCAGCAGATACTCAGGTCCCAGAGCACAGTCTACCAAAACGGTCACTGAGCTGCTGGCTTCTCCCCAGGGGGTGCACCCATCACACACAGGCAGGCCAGGCCTGGGCCACTAAGAACCAGGAAGGCACAAGCTGCCCCTCCAGACACACCCGACACCTGGGGCCCTGGGTGAGGCTGCTGGGGTGTGGCAGCTTCAAAATGGGAAAGGGTAGCTGGTAGCTCCTGAGAAAAGGCAACAGCAGAGCCCTGGCCGGTTTGGCTCAGTGGATAGAGCGTCGGCCTGTGGACTGAGGAGTCCCAGGTTCGATTCGGGTCAGGGGCATGTACATTGGTTGCGGGCGCATCCCCAGTGGGGGGTGTGCAGGGGGCAGGTGATCGATGTTTCTCTTTCATCGATGTTTCTAATTCTCTATCCCTCTCCCTTCCTCTCTGTAAAAAATCAGTAAAATATATTTTAAAAAAAGAAAAAAAAAGGCAACAGCAGAGGTCCAGCTGACCCACCCCGCCCAGCCCCGCCCTGCAGGGTCCATGCACTTCTCGAGTGTCCTGGCCACGTGAACAGCAAACACAGTTGGAGCCACTGACAGTGACGTGCCAGCTGCGCCTGGTCAGGCCTGGCCCATGAGGGCAGTGTGGCAGCACTCCTATCCCCACCCCCTGAGGCCCAGGAGCCTGCTGGCCAGCAGGAGCTGCCGGAGTTGTTGAGGAGAGAAGAGCGAGTTCCATCACTGGGAGTACGCTGCTGAAACGAAACACACCTCTGGCGCAGGCATCCGGCCCCTCGGGTAGATGCAGAATTCTGTGCAGTGTCAGAACCCACTAAAGAACTCTCACTAGTATATATTAAAACATTATAAACAAATAAGCATAAGGTGATATAAGGCTTGTATTTTAGCTCGAGTCCTAACAAATAATCTTGTAATGATGAGGCTAAAGCTGTTTTGCTTAATATTAAATTTTGAAAAATCCACTGCATTTAAAAAATAAAGAATTTGCTTTTGCTAAAGCTAGATCATTAGTGTAAGAATGAGGCAGCTGATAGTTTCTTTTTGGAGGATCTAGGAAATGGACAGTTTTCTTGGTTAGCATTTTGAAATAAAAACTGCGGGTCAGATGGGGCTTCTGGAAGACGCTCCCTTCCGTGGCACAGGGAAGGAGGAGTTTAGAAATACCACTTACTTTACACCTGTCTCTTCCCATGGTTTCAACATTCTGATGAACAAGATTGCCAAAGGGAATGTGGCTCTGTCCCCCCGCCCCGTCCACTTCCTGGCCCCAGGAAGGATGGCACAGTGATTGTTGCATCTACGACTTTAGTGTGAAGCATCTGTACACAAGACTGTTCTCTAAGTCATGCGTGTGCAGGGGCCACGTCTACATGTGATGGCATGACTGTCCTCCAAGCCGCTCCATGTCCTCCCGCAGCTGCTGGTGCTCCCTTGCGCAGTGGCTGTCGTGGCGAGGAGGGCGTGCCTGCACTGGCTCCACGGCCGGCAAAGCTGCTTCAGGCTTAGAAGGGCGCGTGATCGGGCAGGGGCTTGTCGCCACTCTCAGTCGGGGAGGGAAAGCTGTCACTGCCATTCTCTCTGCCACCCACCACCTTAGACTACAGACGGGAAAAGACCAGAAGGGAAAACCTGAGACAGAGCCCACAGCGCCAGGCAGCCCCTGGAACTTATGGTGTTCAATTCTCTACACAAGTTCACAAACCGTGAACACGGATTTGCAAGAGAGAACACACCACTGACACGGCAACAGGCTGGGCGCATCTCCAGAGAACGCTGCAGAGTGACAGGAACCCACCCCAAAAGCAGCACACCAACAGTCCCACTTATGACTTTCTTGGATCACAAAATTACAGAAACAGAGAAGAGATCAGTGGATGCCAGGCAGGGCAGGCGGAGGGCAGGCGCCGTGAAGGGTCTGTGGGAAGAGACCGCTCTCTACCCTGAGGTGCCCATGTCACATCCTGGCTGTGACACCGCAGTGTTAGTTCTGGGGAAAGTATGAAAGGAACAGGGCCTCAGTGTTAGCTCCCACAACTGCCAACTGCCTGGGAGTCTACAACGATTAAGTCAGTCTACCTGACAAGTCACACCCCATCAAGAGAAGCAAACGACCCAGGTAGTTACCTTTATGGTCCCAACTCGGTCTTCAAGCGACTTGAAGGTGGCAGAATTCCTTCAAAGAGAGAGGGAGCAGAAGTCAGTATGAGGAGCCCACAGCTGTGTTGCATCCTGAACTTGAAGGGCCTCAGGATTAGGGTTGTCCTCCAGAAAGACCCCTGAGTACATCCTGAGGTCTCACTGCAAAGACATGACCCGACAGAAGAAGGGGAGGGGCACCCCCTGCAGAGAACCCAGCCAAGGTCACTCCAGAGGCGGCACCAGGTCAGAACCAGGTCAGCCACACTCGCCAGCTACAGGGACAGAGACCTGAATGCCACCAGCTGGTGAGACCCAGACTTGACATGGGTGAGCTGCAGACCCCTGGGCAGCGGGTGAACATGGGGCCCGTTTCTGCTCCACCCTACTGGTAAATGCACCTGTGCTGGGGTTTCACACTCATCTCTCTTAGAACGAAGCCAGGAAAAAAAACCGAGGCATTCTGGGACAAGAGGGTGGTAAGGAGACTAGAGGAGCAAGCAAGCTGGCCTGGTCCGACCCAGCTCCCCTCACTGCTCAGAGCCACCTGCCCCTGGGCTCTGCAGACCACCCGCCCATCAAGGACTCCCAGACAGCTCTGTGGTGTGGCAGCTGCAAGTCTTGTAACAAGGATGGGGCTCCGCTGAGAGCCAAAGCTGCACTGCAGAGCAAGCAGGAGAAAACTGGCCACAAAGCAGATAGAGAGTCCTAGCTGGTTTGGCTCATTGGATAGAGTGTTGGCCTGCAGACTGAAGGGTCCCTTGGCTTGATTCCAGTCAAGGGCACATTCCCGGGTTTTGGGCTTGACCCCCAGTAGGGAGCGTGCCAGGAGGCAGCTGATCCATGATTCTCTCTCATCATTTATGTTTCTATCTCTCTTCCTTCTTCCCTGAAAAAAAAAGAAGACTTGGAAACACCTGCAGTCTCTTGGATGCCAGGTAGGTGTGGGAGCCTCTCTGCCCTTCCCTAGCCCAACCCTGCAGGCAGTCCTGGAAAGTTCCAGACGGAGCATTTGGCATACCCCCACTAGTTCTTTGGCCTCGGAGGGGTCTTTCCTAACCCTAATCCGTTTAGAGGTCTGGGAAGCCGCTGCTCCCCACATCCCCACCCGGCTCTGGGAGCTCCGGACGTGAGCACACATTACCTCATGGCGGGCATACTTATTGAGTGGCGGATGGAGTAGCTGCTGCTTGGAAGCATGACAAAAGCAGAGAAGGAAACAAGAGTTAAGGTGAGGACAGAACAGCGCTCACAGGTTCCTCAGCCCAGACCACGGAGAAACCCAACTTTGCAACAGGGTGGCAGGACCCCTCCCCCAGCACAATCGGAACGAGCACGAAGCCTTGTAAGGCCCCGCACCAGGAGGAAAACTGGACCCACAGCTCCTCTCCCCCCTCCAAAGTCACCCCTGAGGGGCGACGCTGCTGATGGAGACCTCAGCCTGGGGCATCAGAAAAGCTCTGGTACGAACGGGTGTCAGATGTCCTTACTTGACTTCACAGCAAGTTAAAAGACTTTAGAAAAGAGAAACAACCAAGTCCAAGTGCTTCAAGTAAAAAGCACTTAAAATCACAGATAGTTCTGAATTTGGGGTCCAGAAGAGTGTGTGACTTCAGAGTGCTGGCGGCACCTAGAGCGATGTCGAAAACACTGAACTGGGCTTAGTGTTGCGCTGGTGCAGAGAGAGCTCTGGAGTCATAAACGAGGGAAACTCGCCCGGTCGGCGTGGCTCTGTGGTTGAGCATCAACTCATGAACCAAGAGGCCGGTGGTTCAATTCCCACCCAGCAGGCACAGGCCCAGGTTGCAAGCTCGATCCCTAGTAGGGGGCCTGCAGGAGGAGCTGATGGATGGTTCTCTCTCATCATTGATGTTTCTCTCTCCCTTCCTCTCTCTGATATTTCTAAACAAACACACAAGGCAAACAAGATGCAGAAAGCACGACAGCCCCAGGTCAGCACAACCCTCCCACGTGAACAGGACTAAAATGGGGGGGAGGGGGGCTGGGGGAGGGACAACAATGACGCACAAAGGACTTAGACGGACACACTCCGTGGGGTGGTTGGAGTAGGCCAGCAACAGTGCCCAGATATGAACACGTCTTTGTTGGGGAGGCGTCCCTGCACCAACCATATGGCCAGTGATGACCCTCAGGGACCACAGCTCGAGAAGCCTCACTGTGCTGGACAGGGGCCGCACTGGGCAGTTCCCGGCCCCTCGCCACCTTCGTCCAGCACAGTCTCCCACAGGCTGACAGAGCCCACTTGCCCTGAAGCAGAGAAGCTGTGCACAGGCGTGTCTAGCATCAGTCTTACCTAAAGGACTGTGAGAAAGGACGCGCCCTGACAGATGGCAGCAGGAAGAAAGAAGAAACGAATGTTAGGAAGGGAGGTCAATGCCCGCCCCACCCTCTACTCAGCTCTAGAGCCCCCTCTGGCCTGGACACCCACCGGCAGGGCAGACAGGCGCCCGCCCACCTCCAGGCTCCCGAGCCCCGGCTCCAGGAGGCTGCTGCTCTCTCACGCACACGCTGCAAACTGCCCAGCCCATGGCTCTGCCTTCCTGGATGCGATCATGTACAAAGGACCCACGTGCCTGTACCCATTTAGAGGCTGGAAGGAAAAAGCCCCAAGGGGTGGAGCAGTGCAAATGTGTGAGATAACCCCGCTGGGTTCCGCCACCTGGAGCCGAGCCCGCCGTGCTCGGCTGACACGCTGCACACGCACAAACCAGCACACACGGCAACAGGCCTTGGGCACCCGCGGGCTGCGTCCTCCGCACTCTGGGTCCATCACCATGGATAACGGAAGCCTGAGCAGGGTCAGAAATGAGCAGGGCCCACAGATGGGGCACAGGAAGGACATGGCTGCCGCCTCTGCCCCAACATGGAAGTCGTTTTGGAAACAACACATGTGCAGTCACAGGGCCTGATGTGTCCCTACCACTCGGTGGGCAGCAGGGCCAGCTCCCTTCTGTGGGTGGAGAGCTAGTGTCAGAAAACGTGGAGACCTGACCCCTGACCTAAATCCAGTCCCCTTTCCCACCCCCACACCTCACACCCCAGGGCATGCAAAGGTGTCTCAGGCCCGGCCAGGTGCACTGTGGACTCCAGCACAGGGCAGCTTCCTGGGGGACCTGGCCCCAAACATCTCAATGCAGTGGCCCGTGAGGGATCACCTAGCCCAGGGGTGGGCAAACTTTTTGACTCGAGGGCCACAATGGGTTCTTAAACTGGACCGGAGGGCCGGAACAAAAGCATGGATGGAGTGTTTGTGTGAACTAATATAAATTCAAAGTACACATCATTACATAAAAGGGTACGGTCTTTTTTTTTTTAGTTTTATTCATTTCAAACGGCCGGATCCGGCCCGCGGGCCGTAGTTTGCCCACGGCTGACCTAGCCCCAAACTCATGGTGCAAACCTCTGAACCTGACTTTCATTCAAGAAGTGGTGAACTTACAACCTCAAACTCTAAACTGGGGAAGTTAATGGGCCTCAGCCTCAACCACCTGAGACCACATAGGGAGACAACAGGGACACATCAAAAACCCTGAGGGTCAGCGCTCACAGCACCATGGAACACAGGGTGAGACACACCAGCAAACAGGTCAGTCCCTCCAGGCACCTTAAACTCAACCTGGCTGCCCCCCGCCGGCCTAGGCACACACAGCGCATGTTCCGACTGCACAGATGGCAGGTACAGTGAAGGAGGCCACGCGCAGAGCCATCCGGTGTCACTGCGACAAGAAGCCTGCTCACTGCTGGCCATGCCACAAGTTAGCGGCAAATCCCCGTTCTCTGAGCAGACAAAGCACTGCCCATGGAAGCAGCCCTGCCCTCCCCACCGATGCCCCCCCAGGACGCCCTGAACACACTCACAGGGAGAGGAGAGGAGCACAAGCCAGCGGAGGCGCACGCAGGCAGCAGCGCCTACTCTCCCTCAATGCTGTGACCACACCCGCAGGTGAGGAAAGAACGGACAGACCTGCCCGCTGCTCGTTCCAGGGCTGGGAGGGCTCGCCCCTCGGCAGGCCCTGGGGGTGTGGCCAGACCACCAGGGGCACGAACATTCCGTCACCGGGCTCACCACAGCACGGCTCAGGTGGCCAAAGCAGGCATCCCAGAATGCAGCAGTGCCGGCGTCCCACCTCATCTCAAACAGGTCTCCCTACAGGAACATACCCAGTCGAGTACTAGCAGCTCAGTGTGAAGCCTATGGGAGCAATCACCACAGACCCTCCTTGCTGACAGCGCAGAGCCGAAGCGGGGGAGTCCTCCTGAGCCCAAATCACAGCCACGGTGGGCAAGGCATGCATTATAGGGCATCATCCCACAGGGAGCCCCACTACCTAGGAAGCAGCCAGAACCCCAGCGTGGGAAGGCGCAGTCCTCAGGCACAGGAGAAACACAGACTGCCTACAGTTATTTAGCTTCTCCAGAAGTTTGACATTTTTCAAAATTAAGTTGGGGAAGGACTATTATATCAAACAAACAGAAATAAAAGGTGAGCAGGGCTCTGGCTGGTGTGGCTCAGTGGATAGAATGTCAGCCTGATGCCCAAGGGTTGCAGGTTTGATTCCTGATCAAAGGCACATACCTGGGTTGCAGGTTCAATCCCCGGCCCTGCAGTTGGGGTGTGTGTGGGAGGCAACCAATCAATGTGTCTCTTTCACATCAATGTTTCTCTCTTTCTCTCCCTCCCACTCTCTCTAAAAACCAATGGGGAAAAAACATCCTAGGGTAAGGACTAACAAAAACAAACAAGAAAAGTGAGCAGGGCTCTGGCATAAGCCGTCCTCTGCTGGGCTGGGGGGGGTCCCAGGGTTATTAGAATCTGTCTTCACCTCTTGCTAACTGGCAACTGCCAGGCCTGTGAGCCGGGGAAATGCCTAACCCACGCAGGTAGAGGTGAGGGTCAGAGTGTGGTGGACCGCCAACGCCACACTCAATACACCAAACCCATGGGCAACAACACCCAGTGATTCTCTCAGGATGGGATGGGGGCTACAGGGAGGCATTCCCTGAAATGAAAAAGTGAGGGGCCCGGTCCCAAGTGTGGGGTCAGACCAAGAGCGCTGGCGATGACACGCACTTCCCCTCATGACTCAGTGATGTGTATCTTGTCCTAATAACTCCTAGTGAGAGGCCTTGTCAAGGGCACAGCAGAGGCAGCCGAGCCAGAATTCACACCCTGGCCTCTGGCTCCTAGGGCCAGATCAGGAGGCAGAGGGAATAGCCAGCAGGCTGGGGGCGGGTGCTGCCCGGTAGTCACCAAGTGCCCGAGCCACTCTGCACTCCCTGGCCCCCAGGTCCTATACAAGAAGCACCTTTGGTGGCTATGAGGGTCTGGTCAGCCTCAAGAGAACATTCTGTTGGGGCCCTGGCCTGTGGCCATACCGTCTGAGACCTGGGCACACACTCTGAGGAGACACCGAGCTTGTCCTGGCGCCCACCCAGGTGCTGACCTCTAGGCTGTAGTCATTCTCTCTCCATGGAACTTTAAAGAGAAGCACCAGCCTTCACCCGACCCCAAGCATCAGAAATTAGCCAACGGCACAGTGACCACCTCCCCTGAGCAATACAAAACGGCAAAGAGGCAGCCAACGGGAGCAGACACACGCTGCAAACGAAGGTCCATGAACCGACTGGTTGGGGGCTGGCGTGGCCACACCTGTGGTAGCTGAGCGGCCACTGAGGTATGTGCACCTGAGCCCTGGGGCTCAGCAGGCTCCCCACAGAACCTCTAAGAGATCTAAAATCCCAAAAACCTCAGCTGACCAGTCCAGGCCTCAGGGTGGAGAGGCTGGGGCAGAGGGGTCTCTTACCTCATGTCCCCGAGCTTCCTGCTGATGGCAGAGCCCACAGTGGACAGGGCAGCTGAAGTCTTCTGTCCCGCCTGAGAGAGAGTCTCCTGAGTCCTCTTGTAGCTGGAGGAAGAAGCACAGTTACCCAACCAAACACAAGGGGCAGCCACCACCCTCGAACCTGACAGCATCTTTGCCTGGAGCTGCCACCCACACCAAGACCTGCCTCAGGGTCCAGCAAGACTGGCAACCAAGGCAAAGAAGCACTTATGGCAGGCGGGAGAGCAACCCCCCACAGCACGGCCGGGGGAGGAATGGCTCGAGAGCTTCTTTGGGGCACAACTCATAGTGCCTGCCCAAGCACCCCCAACCCAAGGCTCACCTAAGGAAGTGCTTTCATTTCAAAAGAGTTAATAGATTATCTGCAAGAAACAGACTTCTGCACCAGAACCACGGGCACTCAGAAAAGCCCAGGTGCAAGGGGACGAAGGACACACAACTTCTTTACAAATTCAGAAGACAGCCTCAGCCCAGCCTTTCCCGGAACAGCAAATGCGGAGGACAATGTCACCACCCAGGGCTGTGCTGAAGCAAACAGTCTCAAGCAGGGGATTTAAAGAAGAGCCTGGCCTGGATGGTTTGGCTCAATGGATAGAGCCTGTGGACTGAAGGGTGCCAGGCTCAATTCTGCTCAGAGCACATGCCCAGGTTGCAGGCTCAATCCCCAGTGTGGGGCGTGCAGGAGGCAGTCAACCCATGATTCTCTCCCATTTTTGATGTTTCTCTCTTTCTCACCCTCTCCCTTCCTCTCTGAAATCAATAAAAATATTTTAAAAAATAAAAAATCCTGTATAATAAAAGCCTAATGTGCAAACTGTCCCCTCGGGCAGTCATTTGACCGCTTGCTATGATGTGCACTAACCACCAGGGGGGCAGCACGGAACATGGCGAGCATCGGCGACGTGGTGTTGGCAGTGGAGGCGCTGCTGGCCCCATGGGTCCTGACAAGAGCAGGACCACAGCGGGACGGTGGGGCAGGCGAGGGGGCAGCGCCAGGCCAAAGCGGGGTACCAGGAATGGCTGCGGGGCTGCGAGGCTGGGGGCGCAAGCTGGAGCCCGATCTCTGCAGGCCACACCGAGGGACCCCACCAGTGCACGAATTCATGTACCGGGCCTCTAGTAAAAAATAAAGAGCCTTACAGAATCTCTATTTGTGCTCATGAGGCCAAGCTGGGAAAGTGAAGCCCAAGAGAAAAGCGTGGGCCTGCGCCTTGAGTCCTTGGTGACGAAGAGGGCATCCTGTGGGCGACTCCAAGGGCACCACCCCATCAGAGACCAATGGGACAGGCCTGGGGGCAGAGCCAGAGTCTGTATCCAGGGAAGTCAGCCCCCACCATGTTTGCACACTAGTCTATGCAGCCTGGCTAGCACCACTTTGGGAATCACTTCCACCTTTTAGGAAAACATGGTGTAGAGTCCCGAAAAATACCAGCCTCCTCTGGGGCACCTTCCCTTGGAGGCTACCCCACCCCCAACAAGGGTGGGCAGGTAGTTCAGGTCTGGCCGGCCAGAGATCCCCGCTCCTGGCCACAGCAAGAGTCCGAGGAGACCCACAGTGGGCCGCCTTGTTGCTGGGAGCCCCTCACACCAAAGAGGAGGAGCTGAGAACAAAGCCACTGTGGGGAGAATGGAAGGTCCCCAGTGCTCCGCGGGAGCCCTGGTTGGTGGGCCTGGAACAGGGGCTTCTCGACAGGCAAGACCTCCCCACCCTTAGACTGACAGCCTTTAGCTGTGCTTTCTGTCACCTGCAACCAAAAAACTCCATATAGTGACAATACTGAGTTAACTTGTGACTACGGAATTCACCTGGTGCCCTCTCAGTACGGTGTTAGCTAAGATCTACCTATAAAAAGAATCCAATGGCCCAGCCGGCTCAACTCAGTGGTTGAGAGTCGACCTATGAACCAGGAGCTCACGGTTTGATTCCTGGTCAGGGCACATTCCTGGGTTGCAGGCCCGATCCCCAGTGTGGGGCATGCAGAAGGCAGCCGATCAATGATTCTCTCTCATCAATGATGTTTCTCTCTCTCTCTCTTCCTTCCTCTCTGAAGTCAATAAAAAAAAATATTTTTATAGAAGGGCCCGGCAGGCATGGCTCAGGAGATCACGGTTCAATTCCCAGTCAGGGCACATGGGTGCAGGAGACAGCCAATTAATGATTCTCTCTTATCATTGATGTTTCTATCTCTCCCTCTCTCTTCCTCTCTGAAATCAATAAAAATGTTAAAAAAGGGGAAAAAAGCGGGGGGAGGAGTTGGCTGACAGAAGATCAGTAGCACCTAAACTGCTTCCTTCCAGCACGGTTCCATGAGCAGGACTTGCAGACCCACAGTCGGGGAGACGGGCTCACCCCAATGCGCTTGCCCTCAGACACTGGGCCAGCTCTCTTGCAGTGACACCCTGGGGGCTCTGGCCGAGCACCCCTGGGCTCCTTCCCCCAGAGACGGCCACCCCACCCCGGGCCTTGTGGCCGTCCTCCTGGGCAGTCACTGCAGAAATGCCTTCAGCCTGGAAGCATCTGACAACTTTCCCAGCAGAACTAGTGCGAAACTCCGGGGGCACGGCCACTGCCTGGTGAAATGCATGAAAAGGCCATGCTGCTGGCCACACATGTCCACACCCAGAGCCACGGGCTCCTCTCCCGGGAGTGAGAGTTGTAGTTATTGGAAACAGTGTGTTGGCTGGTTTTACAGAGCAGCACCGAAGTCTCCAAAGGCTATTTCCTGATAAAGTCTGCACTGCGAATGGTCTGGCGACAGCCACTGAATCACCGAATACTGCCACGCTGCTACAACACCCACTGCCACAACCAGCTGTCTACCAAACTGCACAAACAGCAGAAAACAGGCACAGTCAGAGTCCCCTGAGCACACCAGGCTGCAGAGGCTCCATGTGTAGCTACCCAACCTGGGGTCCCAGGCACCCCAGGAGAGGCTGGGTAGCAACTGTTTTCTTTCAGCCCAACACGAACGGGCTTTCTGCTGGCAACCATGACAGTACTTCCTTCTGAACAAGACAGAATATCAGAGAACGACCATTCCTAAACACTGCCCACTTGGCTTAAAGAGCTATGATCTGATGAAGTTCTACTATCTCGTTGAAGGATCTCAGCTAGAACATCACCGTGGTTCTCAACCAGAGCTCTGCTCTGTATTCTGCACTGTTCGTTCTGTGTGGCTGACAGCTTGGTGCCTCTCGGACCAAGGGGACTCCTTCAGGATCCCACAGGCACGGCCTACACCAACCCTGACTTGAAGAACACCTACGTACTAGGGAAGCTCCACAGAACCCAGCAGCTGGAGCCAGGTCTGCAGGAGAAGGAAGGACAAAAACAAAGAGCCCCCATCCACGTGGTGCAGACGGCACCCGGCCACGCGCCCACCGGAACGCTGAGGGGTCTCTGAGGGAGAAGCTGCCGCCAGCCCGGGGCTCTTCTTCAAGGGACGGTGCAGGCAGAGGAGTTCTGTGGGGTCTGGTGGCCACGAGAGTGAGGGTCGTTCCATTCGTGTTTAAGAGGGAAAAAACGATACGAAATAGCCAGGAAACACAACTAGGTGTGTGCCCAGCGCACACAGCCTGCTTGCCCCTGAAAGGTGTGTTGGGAGGAGAGGGGAGGGAGGTGCTGACGGCAAAGGCACTCACAGGTCCGACTGGGTCATTCTCTCATTCCACTCTCCAAGTTTCTCAGAAGTTTTCACATAGCTAAAAACAGAAAGTCTATGGTGAATTGTTTAGAAAAACTTTCAACTCAGGTTTCAAACTGCAAGTGAAATTCCAGGGCCAATGGAGAACTGACTGGCAGGAGCACAGAACGCCTGCGACCAGAGGACAGGGCCGCTTCTGCTTAGCACCCTGCTGTGCCGCCCCGGTGGGGGCAGGGGAGGCGACAGAACAAACCAGTTCTTTCCCGTCAGGCCGAGAGGTCATTCAATGTTACGATGGCTCTTGGGGAACACTGCTGTGAGGGCAGGAAGGGCAGCCTGTGGCCCCAAAACACTTGTGGCAGTCACCCTTTGAGGTTCAGAAGCTATGCTTTCCTAAGACAGAAACGGGGTTTTTCCAGGTGAGATTTATGAAGTGACTCTGCCTGTGGGGACAGGCCTTTCAGACAGTGGGAGCCACTCCTCACCCCCACCTTGGAGGAGACATTTCAGAGGAGCCACGTAGCTGCCCTGCCCAAGGTCAGAGCGGAACGTTTGTGATCACACCCGTCATGAGGAGTCACGTCCACTCGAGCAGACGCTCAGCTCTGGGGACCACAGCAAAGTCAGTCTCATCAAGGACCTCATTAGTGTGCTCTCAAATTTGGACCCGAAACATATTCTTGTCGATTTCCACTTGGACAACCAGCTGTGTGTCCATCCACCTTTTACAAAACATCTGACTGAGCAGAGTAAGTGGGAGGACAATTGCTAGGTCAAGGTGGCAAGGCCCCTGGCTGGCTGCTTCCAAACAGGCACATTTGGTCCCCATTCCTGGGAGGCACCTCGTCCTCAAGAACTAACACCCCGTTGACAGGACAGAGGCACCACGCTGTGCTCGCTCTCCAACCACCAGGGCGCCCTGCCGCAGAGCAGGCACCTACGCGCTTGAGACCTGCACGTCGCGCCAGCTCCTGGACAGGCTCTGCCTCAGGCCCTCCGAAGCAGAGGGGCCCAGCTTCCTCCTCAGCTCTCCGCAGCGCCTCTCCTTGGCCGCCAGGACCTGGCGCAGGGTGACAATTTCCTCTTCTACCTGCATAAGCACGAAGTTGACATGATTAGCTATACTACCACAGGAAGTGACTGACATCCTCATACAATGCGATGTGAGGTTCCTCAGTTATCTAAGAACTGTCCCCTTACAGAAACATACATCTCAGAAACAGCGTCGATAGCAGACGTCTGTTTTTATTTGGTACCAACACAACTTATTCTGCAGAACTGTCTCACCCCCAAGCCGAGTGGCTCTGCTGGGGCTGCCGATCACCATGCTGACCGGGGGTAGACTGAGCAAGGCCTTCCGGAGCTCTGCCCCGGGCTGGGCACAGGGTCAGAGGAGGGAGGCCCTCTTTCCTCTGGGCCTTGCCTCTGGGCTTGGACAGCAGAGGCTGGAACATCTGGCAGCCAGCCCCATCTACGGGGGGCGTTCCTTATGCAGCAGGAAGGAAGCAAAGCAGACAGATGGCCAGAAACCCAGGTGACATGAACCGGCCCCATCACAATATCTGTGCTCCTGAGGTCAGCTCCAGGCTTTGGCAAAAGCCAGTTACACAAGCCAAAAGTAAATTCGCCTTTGTGTTTAAGATAATTTGAGTTGAGTAACAGAGAACCCTGAACCTCCTCAGGTCTTAAAAAAAAAAAGCCCTGGCCAGTGTGGCTCGATTGGGCGTCGTCCCATCCACTGAGAGGCTGCTGGTTCAATTCCCAGTCAGGGCACATGCCCAGATTGTGGGCTTGATCCCCAGTGGGGGTCGTGCAGGAGGCAGCCGATCAATGTTGTGCTCTCACATCGATGTTTCTCTTTGTCTCTCACTCTCCCTTCCTTTCTCTAAACATTCAATAAAAGTATTTTCTAAAAAAAGAAAGAATAAGTGACACGAGAAGGAAGCATCCATTAGAACCTTACTAGAGTTCTCAGCACTTCCAGCTCCTATATGAACAGCTATTCTAAAAAAGCCCCTTTCTTTAAAAAGTGCTTGTTTGGATTAAGGCACTAAAAACAGTGTAGAGCCCTGAATATCCCTATATTCTGCTTTAGAAAATAGTTGAAACAAGAAATAATTTACAAACATAGTATCATCTAAGGCCAAACGATTACCAGTCACTCAGTCAGGTACAACCAGTGACCAGAAGACTCCACTCCTGGCGTAATGACTGACAGGGCTCTGGGGCACATGGTCACGTTGTCCTGGGAACATGCAAGTTGAAGGTTTTAAGTGACACAAGAGTGACTCCACTCTGCGATCCAACTCTGAAAAAGACCTGGTGGCTTTAGTCTCAATGCCAACATATTTGAAGTAAAATACAAAGCATACATGTCCTTGGACTTCTTACTGCTTCTCTCTTAATCGCTGTTCAATTCAGAAACAGCCCCATGCTTTCCTGTGATCTGAAACCTGGTCCTGGGGCTGAGATTGGTCTGTACAACTAGCTTTGTTCAGACCTAGGACTGGGCCTGGGATGTATTAAGATGGGGCTTGTCTCTGGAGACATAGCAGAGGCCTGTGACAAATACGGTCAGATATTAACAAGACCATCTCCCCAGACTCTGGAATGTCAACTGAGTCACACTACCAGGCTCTGCATCACACAGTGGAAAGAAACCCTCTTGTTAGTTGGTATAAAAATTAAACTCAGAGGCTTCTGTTCTTAACTCCGATTTTCTCTTAAGGGACTCTCACTTTAAAAAGATCACATTAAGTACTTTTTACAAAAAGGTGTTTTTGAAAGAGAAATTAAGATCCAGGGGCAATAAGATGGTGGGGTCTTGAAAATGTCAGGTGTTAACTCCAACAGAGAAACTCCCCGTGGGTGGTGTGCTCAGAGCAGCTGCCCCTGTGTGGACATTCTCCCGCTGGAGCACCCACGAGGGGCTGGGTACATACAAGCCGGGGCCCCAAAGAGCAGTGTCTGTGGGGCCTCAGGATAACCCCATTTCTCCAGGGCACAGCCAGCACTCTGCCCTCATTAGCCTAAGAGGGCCTCGACTCATGGTACCACAGGCCAGCCAGCCAAGACACAGAACCTTCACGAGCTCGGCCCTCAACTCCTCCTCCTCAGCTTCCGTCAGACCCTCGACAGCAGGAGTCTGGGCAGCCACTGCCGTGTCAACAGGGACATCCGTCATGGAGTCGGACAATAGACCTTTGTTAGGAGAATTCAGGTTGATATCTGCCAGAGACAAAACAAGGCCAGAAAGTGCCAAGTAAGAAGTTATGGAGAAGTCCATGGGACAGAGGAGAAAGAAAGGGTGAAAGGACAGGCGGCGGGGGAGGACTGGACACTAACAATGCCTCTTCTCTGAAAGGTTTTGTGAAGATGGTTTGGTCCATCTGCCTGAGGGCAGCCACACCCCAGACCACCCCAGATGCTGCTTCAGGGCCTGGAAATGCTGGGGCAAGGCAGCCATACCCTTCCTCTGCTTCCCCTGCGAGAACACTATCTCCAAAGCGGAGCACTTTGCTATAAGGCAGCCCAATCTAACAGATCTGCCATTTTTAGAGGAAAAGAACACATACGGCTGTAAACACAAGCACCCCTTTCCAAGCAACTGACCTGCCAGAGCCCATGCTACAATTACATACAAGGAGCACATGTCAGTTGTCTAGCCCTGCAGGAAGTCAGCAGCACAGAAATGCCCTTCGTTCACACTGGACCTCACCCCTCAGCAAGGACCCATAGCATGCCTCCACACTCCTCCGCTACACCCAGATCAGGTTCAAATTTCTGCAGCCACTATTTTTTCTTATTAAGTGCATCTTCCTGTCTGCACTGAAGTTTACAAGATATCACACAAGGAAAAGGAGATCTACTTTAGTTCTTTCCTACTCTGACCACATGATTGTCATTTAGTACTTTTATACCATCAGCACTGAGAACATCTTCCCTTTGAACACCACACTGTGAAGAAACAGCCTTTGTTTGGTGTCTTACACCTTTAAGAGTAAAAGAGCCCGACCAGCATGGCTCAGTAGTTGAGTGTCAACCTATGAATTAGGAGGTCATGGTTCAATTCCAGGTCCGGGCACATGCCCAGGTTGCGGGCTTGATCCCGTGTGGGGTGTGTAGGAGGCAGCCGATTGATGATTCTCTCATCATTGAGGTTTCTATCTCTCTCTCCCTTCCTCTCTAAAATCAATAAAAATATTTTAGCCCTAGCCAGTTTGACTTAGTGGATAGAGTGTTGGCCTGAGAACTGAAGGTCCCAGGTTCAATTCTGGTCAAGAGCACACGCCCAGGTTGTGGGCTCCATCCTCAGTAAAGGGCATGCAGGAGGCAGCCGATCAGTGATTCTCTCTCATCATTGATGTTTCTCTCTTTCTCTCCCTCTCCTTTCCTCTCTGAAATCAATTAAAAAATATTTTAAAAATATTTTAAAAAACAAGAATAACAAAATAAAAGTAAACGAAATTGCTTGGCTTGCATGGCTCAGCGTCAACCTATGAACCAGAAGGTCATGGTTCAATTCCCAGTCAGGGCACATGCCTGGGTTGCAGGCTCGATCTCCAGTAGGCGGTGTGCAGGAGGCAGCTGATGGATGATGTTCCTCTCCCACTGATGTTTCTATCTCTATATCCCTTCCATTCTCTCTAAAAATCAATAAAAACGTATAAACATTTTTAAAAAGCATGAAGTTTAGAGAGAAGTAAAAGTGTTTGTCTACTGCAGAAATGCCAGAGTCTGCTAAAATTAGATGGAATGCACTTAAAATCAAAGATGCTCCACTTAGCCAGCTGTCCTGTTCCCTTCACATGCCCACCCACACAGCTCCAGCTGGGCTCTTCCTTGGTACTCAATAGATATTTACAAAACAAAGCATATCCACTTTTAAATCAACAGATTCTGAATTTTAACTGGTATCAACCTACATAATTTTACTTCATCATTGTATCCACTATACTGAAGCTACTCAAATTCAGTAAATGCCTTAAAATTTCCAAAATTTTTCTCTTCTATTAAAAAAAAAAAAATGAACGCCCTTGGACAGTTTCTGGCAATAAAGCTAAAATTTGATCCCATGGAAGTCAATCCCCCATCCCAAGGTAGAAACTGGGCACTCACCGAACATGCCAGCACAGAGAATAAGCTTGGGGCTGGAGCCACAGGGGGTGGGGGTCCTTCACCCTAGGCGAGCCCCAGCTCTCTAAGCCTGCATAACCCTCTGCAGATGGGAGCAATGCAAGCACCAATCTCAAAGGGCTACTCTGAAAACGGAAAAAGATCATTTGAGAAGCAGGCTTAGTATGGTGTTTGGCCCATAGTAGGTGTTCAGTGAATGCCTGTCATTCTCATGATCAGAACCCAGTGCTTGTGATGCTTAACTTCTGACGCTCAACTATTTTGTAAATAGACGTCATAAGTAGGAAAACCTACAGAACAGTATCAGAATCCAGAAATCGTAATGTCTAATTCGTATGCCGATAAGGTCAACCAGTAGAAGAGCACCCTGCAATTATCCAGCGTAGTTAGTTATGTAAACAGAAATGGAGCATCCCCTCGCTAGAGAATCGTAATGGGAGACCAACTGGTTACCGCCTTCTCAAGATTTAACCTCCAGCGGCCATCTCAAGCTGGTCTGGGGGGGTCTGTCTGGAAACAGGTCAGGTAAACTGGGGTGCCCTGACTCGCTGCACCGCCCTCCCCGCACCACCTCTAGGTAGGCTGGGCTCCGAGAGCGTGGTCGCCCAAGGGGCGCTGCGCCGAAGGCCAGGACGGTGTCCCCTCCCCTCCCCTCCCCGGGAGCCGCGCACACCGCTCGGCCCAGGCCTCGGTGGAGTGACTCCGAGGGCCCAGCTCAGGGACCAGGGGCGGCCGACCCGGCGGGCGTCGGCGGGGTTGTAAAGAGAGCTGCCTGGAACGAGGATGCCCGAAACTCTGGGGACCAGGAAAGGTGCCTGGGAACCCGTCCTCGCGGCGGTCCAAGCTGGGAGTGGCATACACACGCCGCGACCCTCGGGAGATCGGGAGAGCATCGCGGTCGGGCGCCCGGGAGCCGAGAGGGGCCGCGGGGAGGGCGGCGGAGGAGAGCACCGAGAGTCCGAGACCCGACCCGGGGAGGGGTGGGGCGTGGGCCGGTCGGTCCCGTAGGCGGCGGAGGCGCCGGGCCCACAGCTACCTTGGCCAGCAGAGTCCATGCTCAGACGGCGGCCCAGCCACAGCTGGAGTCGCGGCAGGGATCTCGGATGTAGGAGCCGAGCGGGCCGCGCTGGGAGTCGCTCGCCGCGCACACACCAGCCAGCGGAACTACTGCAGCCGCCGTGGCATTACGTAATCAACGATGCGACGGCCCACTTCCGCTTTGACGCTGCTTCGCTTTCGTCCCGCCCCCATCAGCGCTATCCAATAAGAGCTTCGTCTTGTCCTGTTTCTGTTCATCTACTCCAATTTGATTGGCTAAGGCTGCGAGCGAAGCAGGAAGGGAGCGGGGTTCTGAGGAAATCCCTCCCAGGTCAACTCCACCAGCGAGACGCCAGGTAGAACGGTCCGGAGGAGCCCAGGGAAGGTGGGACGTGGGGAGACTAGCCAACATGGCGCCACGGGAACCCTTCTCTTGGGCCCTTGGGAGGTTTCGAGGGTGCCTCCCACTGCCTAAGAGCGCCAGAGCTTGACGGATCCGACTCAGACCGCTTGCGATCCCTCCGAGGCCCGATCTCCTGACTTTGGGGTTAGCCTTGTCCCCGGTCTGTTATTCTTTTTTAGTGCGCACATTTACGGGGATTTGGGGGGGGGGGGGCGGGGTATGGGAGTTGAGCAGAAAAAGGCGTGACTGTGATATGTCCTCTTGCCCTGCAAACGCTGCCGCCTTCACCGGGCGTCGTGCATGCCCTCCGCTGGCCCTGTGCACCCGTGTCCTTAGCTTGTCACATGCACACGGTCAACCAGGGGGAGCGCTCCCACTTTACAGATGAGTAAACTGAGATTGGAGTAACTTGCCAAGATCATTCAGCTAGTTGAGGGGCTTCCAGCAGACTCTGGAACAAGAGTCTAACTTGCCTAACTTCTCAAACGAGAGGTGTGCAACCGTTAGGCAACCAGTCCCCCAAAGACAAGTCCCACCACTTCCCTTCTTCATTTCCTAATCGCCCCTGGAAGCAAAATCCTTAAATGGTATTCAAACCCTTTAGGATCTGACTCTTCAGGACTGTATTCCCCACTTCCAGCCAAGCCACTCTGATCCCCAGGTATGGAAGCCACTACCTTCAGCTAACTCCTCTTCCTGACTCAGCTCAAAACTCACCTCCCACAGGCATCTTCCTGGTACTTTAGGTCACCTATGTATCCACCTCTGCTTGTACCTGCCAGGGTGCATCATGGCCGTGTCCTGCTCTGGTGCTGTCAACTATGTGTTTGCCCCAGTTGACTTTTTCAGTTTTTCCAGTTTCTTGCTCAACCCACCCTGGCCAGCCTGACCCCACAGACTGGGGACAGCAAGTAGTCCCTGCTTCATACAGTTCAGGACAGACAGTAAAGAAGTGACTGCATCACAGATAGTGGTGAGCAGAGGGCTTATTTCTCGTTCTGTATTACATCCCTGAACTAGGAACAAGGCCTAGCCCAGGCCTGGCTCAGAGGGGAGGGCGGAGGAGGAGAAGGGGGAGAGCACCAAGAGACGGAGGGGGGCGGGGAGCATGGGCCGGTGGGCCCACAGCTACCTTGGCCAGCAGCTACATGCCACATGGTGTGCACCTGTTACTTTGAGTCTGTGGTCCCAGTGAACCCCTCTTGTAGAAGCCAGGAGTGGAGGTAGGGGGAGGACCCTATGGAGCAGCATCACAGTCCAGGAAAGGTCCAGCTGCTAAGACCTGCTTTGTAGATGCCAGGGGCAACTTGTACAGACCTTTCAACACTCAGCTTTCCGAGTCATCTGTAACCCAGGGTGGGTAAACAGCGCCTCCGAAGGCCCCACAGCCCGTGTTCCCACCATCATTTTGAGGTGTTGAAGGCACCCATCACACAGCATTGCTATTAATTGGGTCAGGTTAATCTTTGCATTCCCTTTAGGAACTGGGAGCAGACTGGGACATCCACAAGTGTTTGAGGGAGGAAGAGAAAGGGAGCAGGGAATGCCTTACCCTCTCCCAGACACTAGGTTGGGGTCCCCAGGGCAGGCCAGCTTTACTGGTTGGGGTGTGGGGAGGGGAATGGCCCTGAGGCCCTGAAGATGAGCAAAAGCACAAACGCTAGTTCCCTCAGGGGCTCAGGCTACAGCCTCCAGGGCAACTGGAAGTCCTCGGGTTCTAGCGGACTGCAATGAGTCGCTTCCACGTTCTTGAGGTGTTTGCGCGCCAGGAACAGCGCGAGTTGCCGGCGCCTACGCGAGCTCAGGCCCTGACCCACCCGCCACGGGAAGGCGAGCCCGTGCGGTCCCCAGACCTCCTCGTCCTCCTGTTTGTCCTCGCAGTGAGCGCGGTAGGAGCGCAGCAGTGCCAGGCACCAGTCGTCATTCACGTGGTAGCGCGCATAGAAAGCGGCTTCCTGTGCCAGGCTGCCCGCGCGCAGCCAGCGGGTCACGATGGCGTGGCCCTCACGCGCCATCACAGCCGGGTAGCGGTGCTGCAGCAGGCGCAGGAGCAGCTCGTTGCCGCGGTTGCCCTCCACGTCGCCGAACGGCAGGGGGCGCAGATGGCCGGAGGTGCTGACCACGTCGTCCAGAGTTCGCCGGAGCAGCAACACCGGCCCGGGGTAGCTGCACAGCTGCTCCGCGACATTGAGGTTGAAATGTTCACGCACGGTGCGCACCACCAGTCCCTTCCAGCTCTGGGGCATGACCTTCAGGGCCAGAGGCACGAGGTCGTCGAAGGTGGCATCAAGCACCAGTGCACCCAGCTCCGGGTAGGACATGGCGGCCCAGGTGGCTGTGAAGCCGCCAATGGACCAGCCGTAGATCACCACGTGCGCCGGCGGGAAGCGCAGGCGGTGCAGTGCGTACTTGATCACCACGTCCATGGCGTTGGCATCGTGCTGAGGGAACGGCTCACCGGTGCTGCCCCCGAAGCCCGGGTGGTTCCAGCCCAGCACTGAGTAGCCAGCCTCCAGCGGCGCGGACAGGCAGCCCATCTCATAGAAGCCGGCGTTGCCTTCACAGCAGATGACCAGGCGCAGGCCGCGGCCCTGGCTGCCCGGGTGTTGGCGGCGATCCATGAACATGGTGTCGATCTCGTTGCCATCTCGGGCCACCAGCTTGGCACGCCGGCCGTGGTAGCGCTCCACGAGGCGTTCTTGGCCCTGCTGCAGCAGCGGCAGCAGCGCTCGGGTCATCAGGAACATGGAGCCCGGGTACACGAGCCAGCGGCCCAGCGAGTGGGCCAGCGCGTAGCTGGCCAGCTGGCCGGGCAGCTCTCGGATCTGCTGCAGAAGGCACTGCAGCTGGCTGCGCGACCCATGCAGCGGCCTCCCCGGCGCGCCCCCGCCCAGCGCGGCATCCTGGAGCAGCCACACGCCAGCTGCAGCCGCCGTGCATGTCAGCGCGCGGTGACTGCTGCCCCCCGCATGGGTGCTCACGTCATCCCAGCGGAAGTCCACGGGCCAGCTGCGGAAGTTGTAGGTGTAGTTGGCGGTCAGGTAGATCTTGAATACGTGCACCAGCGCCTTCACGAAGCAGACGATACACATGGGCGTCGAGGCTGCTTTGCGGGAACCCTAATGCGCAGTTTCCGGGGACCCCGACCCGGCCCAGCGGGCGCTGCAGGGGCTAGCACCGCTCTGAGCTATCCTGGGTGGTGCCTCCTCGCCTGTGGCATCTGCACCAGTCTGCTTTGTGAGTCACTGTTGCTGGGGGAAGGGGCTACACCCTGTGATGGGCTCATAAAGGGTTCCCAGGCCCTCAAGTGCTGCCCCACCCTTGGGACACAAACACCCTCCCTATGCCCTCCTTGACTATATCTCCCCCATCCCTGCTTCACCCACCTCCCCTTTAAACAGGCAGGAGATTCCCACACGGGAGGTAAAGGGAGCCGGGGCAGGCCCAGCAGTTCTGGGGGCAGGCAGGCTGAGCATTTGCAAAGACAAAGTAGTCTGGAGAAGCGGGGTGGGGGTTGGAGTGGGGAGGGGGGGTGGAGGGGATAAGGTGGGGGTGTCGAGGTTCCCTGCCCAGACCTGTGCTAGATGCCCCCAGCCCTCCCTGTGCACTGAGCAGCCCAGGAACTCGGACAATGCGGCTGGTGGGCCCTGCTGGAAGCAGGGAAGGCAGCCTGTGCTCAGGGGTGTGGCCCCCACCCCTCACACCATATCTTCTCAGAAAAGGGGCGAATGCAGGTGGAAACCCCCGCCTGTTCCGGATCCTCTTTCCAATGGCACCAGCACAGCAGTGACCTTCTCCAGGTGGGCTCTTCCTGGTCAGTGTTCCTCATTTTCAGCCCCTGGTCAAGCCCTCCTCCACCTAAAACCGCCCCCACAAGATGTATCTTCCTCTTTTCTAGAAGGCTCCAGTGGGTTCCCCTTTTTCTCCACCAGAGTGGGCCAGTCCACCAGAGGGTAAAGGTGGCAGGTTAGAGGCCACAAGGGGAGCCAGGGAAGAGCCAGACAGGGGCCTCATTCAACCGTTGCCTGGACTGAAACAGGAATTTGGCAAAGCTAGCCAGCCTCCTGCAGCCCGAGAGCCTTCTGGGGAGAGGGTTCCCGGACCAGTAGCCCTCTCTGTTTGCCTGTGTGTCTGGGTCGTAGGCACAGCAACCCAGTCAGCCCCACCACGTTGGGAAGCAGAGCTGAGAGTATTCCTCCCCTTAGGGGGTGGAGGGCAGCATGGGTCACTGGGCAAGGAGGCTGGGTTGGGAGGGTTGACTGTCCCCTAGGGTTTCCAGATAAAAGACCGAATACCCAGTTAAATTTGAATTTCAGATAAAGAGCAAATACTTTTTGAGTATAAGTATGTCCTAAATATTGCATGGGACATACTAGATATCCTGTTTGTCGGTTGGTTTTCGCTAAATCTGGCAACTCTACCCCCTGCATCCACCCCCAGCTGGAGAGACCCAGATTTCCCAGCTCTGCTTCCAGATTGGGCTGCTCTGCTCATTGGCCAGGGCCTGAGGCCCAGATAGTGTCTCAGGGCCCACGGGTGCACCTGGGCAACGGGCCCCTTCCTGTTCCTCTGCCCTGCAACCACCCCACCTCTTCACTGCCCCAAGAGGGAGCCCCCTGGGCACCACAACTGGGTCAAAGGATGGGTGGAGGTACGGGGGGGGGGGGGGGGGGGAAGGGTGGCCCTCCCCCCCATTAAAAA